TAACACATTTCAGAGACAAACTGAATAAAGATCAATTTAAGAAAAGCATTAAGGCAAAAATTTCCTGCATTTACCAACTTATAAAAAGCATTCTAGTTTATGAAAATAAACGGTTTTCTACTTTACTCCTTCCCCAATTCAAATTCATTAATTGTTATGGACACTAACTTATTTACCAGAGCTTCCTTATTGGTTAAGGTATACAGAACAACAGGTAGGAACACCCAAGTCCTTCCACTCCGCCCTGTGCCAGGATCCCTTCCAGTCTGTCCGCAAGTACATAGGAGACAAATGCAAACCTTTCTCCACAGGCTGTTGGAGACACAGGGAGGACGATGCATTGCACACCAAAGCGGCAGACCATCTGTCCCAGAGGAGACACAGAAGCCATGCCTGAGGCAGGGCAGGCAGTTCCTGAGCATAAAACCGTCTTAGGAATTTCTAAGTTTAGCAATACAGTGAAAGCATCTGAATCAATCCTCTGCAATGCCTTTTTAAAAAGCAGGTGTATTTTTCAACTCTCAACTGATAATGATAATTCTCTGTTTTATTAAGCAAACTCATCTGTAAATGTTTGGAATGAATAAACAACCTTGCTTCAGAACACACGTGATCAGGATTCATGGAGGAAAGAGAAGGTCACTCACTAGACTGGTACATACCATATGGCCAGTCCGTGCCAACTCTCAGGTTGGGCACACAGTGACATTGAAACTGGAAAAAGGGTATGTTCTCCCACTTAGCTTTTTGCTCAAAACCATTCAGATTTCCCATTTCACAAAGAAGAAACACCCAAGTTTTTTCATGGCCCAGAAGGCTGTTACCTGACCTGGCCCTTAGCTACCTCTCTGATTTCACAGCTTGGTTCACAGCTGCTCTGCCTTCTCTGATAATCCACCTCTCGTACATACAACCTTTGCACTTCAGGACCCGTGTGCTGTATAGAACCTCTGACCAAAAGGCTCTTCACAAGGTATGTATGTACCTCACTCCCTTAAATTCTTGCTTAAATACCACATGAGCAGAGAGGCCTTCCCTGTATACCCTAAAAACCCCCCATTTCCCCTTCTCTGTCTTCTTTTCCTGCTTTTTCCACAGAGTATTCAGCATCACCCGACACCATATACACTTACTTAAGTATCTCCTTCACCAGAGTGAGAGCCGTGATGGCAGGAAAAATGTTTGTTTTGCGCACTGTTATTTCATCAATACCTAACTTTGTAGAAATGCCAGTTTTATTATATGCTCTAATATATGATGACTATGAATATATGTCTAATTAAACTAACACATTTCAGAGACAAACAGTACCATAAAATATCAGTACCGTGTGACAAAACATTAAATGGTGAAGTCACATAATAGGAATAGAGAAAGGGGGGATTGTGAATCAATACTCTGTTTCTGAGGATGCCTTAGAAGTTTATTACCTTGAATGTGGTGGCAGTAACACAAGTACAGACATATGTCCAAACTCACCAGATTGTATACATTATGTGCAGTTTTATACATTAATTATGTGCAGTGTCTCACAGATCTTTTCATTTAAAAAAAAATTAAGTTGCCAGGCAGCAACTATCCAATTTTAAAATGCAACCTTAGCTTTATCGAGCAACAGCAACCACAGCATCAATACCGGTCAATTAAAAATGTTTGGATTGCCATGGCTCAGAAAAAACTGGGACTCGGTTGTGTTCTGTATTATACTATGCTAAATTGAGGAAGTAGGAAGAAAAAGTATGATTCTTAAGGTACTACATAGAAAATACATTCTATTTTCTTCCCAATACTGAACTGTTCCTTGACACATGGAATGTGCAAGAGCAGGGGGTGGTAAGAACAAGTGGGAGAGCGGGCATGCAGCACTTAATTTCAGTAAATACTTCAGAAAACTTTGGAGATGACCAAGCAGCTTTCAAAGAAGGCACGCAGGGTGGTGTCTAAAAGAACTGCAAGGGTATGTTTTTTTACGTTTTAAACATACATAAAATTATCAGTGCATTCTTTGAATTGGTGCTAGTGTTTTCTTCATACCAACAAGCAAGCTCTGCTTCCACTATAGTAACTTCATGGCCCTGTTAAGTTTGTGCCATTTTCCTCAAGTCAAAAAGACGAAGAAATCAGATGCCATGGAATTCCTATAGAATATGTCAAACAAATATATATTAAGCAATAACATTATACTGACATGTTATATGTGTGCAAAAACTCAAGCTGAAAATCCTTTATGTAACAGTAAATGTATTCCTAATGTTTCATGTTTATAATTCCAAAATTTTAAGCTCCTATTCAAATTCCTAATTAAAGTCTTTCTATTTTAGCTATTGGTGAGTACCTGTATCACCCACTGGACAGTATTTACTTTTTTTTTACATTATGAATACTGGCAATAAATAAAGCAATTTTTAAAAACATGGCACTATGGATTTCTGTTTTACTGTCTGACATTGTTAGGAGCTTGGAAGGTGTCACTCCCCTCCACACAACAAGAAAAATGCTGAACAAACTGAAAACTTACCACTCCTCTTAGATCCACTCGAGAAGTGTGATCAGAGACAAGCAGATACAGAACACAACAGCTTACTGGAGCAGAACCTGGTGAACAGAGATGTCCCCTCTGGTTGAAGTGACTTCCAGGGATTTAAAAAGCCAGTGCCCTTTCTTCTCCTACCCCCACCTTCATTTCTCATTTTTTCCTCTTCTGGGAACCAGAAATTAAAGACATGGACCTTCAAAAAACAACTGCGTATCTGAGGAAAATTAGAAAGTGCCTGTGCAGGCCCAGGGCAAGGCTCAGGAAAGACAGAAGACAAGATTACACCTCATTCTTCTTTACATGTTCTTACAAATGTAAACAGAACAATATCAACTTAATTCCTCTAACCATCCAGGCAAGCAGCCTGGGAGCATGTACAGCTACCTACATTCTCCTAGGTCTTAGATCTGATCCTGAAGAAACAAAGTAAACATGGTTAGGGACCCTAAGGAATTAAAAATGTGCTGAGAGAGACTGCAGAACAGTTATTTACTATACACGAAGTTCATGCCATAAAATAAAAACAAATTAAATTGCTGGTAGGAATACAGATGTGGTATTAGCTAAGTTATGAGAAAGCTGGAGAAGATTTTGTAGAGGTGACAGCTGATCTGGACCAGATAACAGGCAGTTGGAGGGCAGGACTTCGGCAGAACTAACAGTATGTTCACAGGTTAGGAGACACAAAAGTGGAACATGTACCAAAAAGAAGTCAGCCACAACCACTTGCTATCTACATGATTCTGCAAAAAAAATGAAACTATCTCGAATGAAAAATAAGGATAATAGCATCAGAGGGCTGGGCTGCTGTGAGGAGAACAAGATGGTAAATCGAGAAGGACATGAGGACAGCCTGGCTGCCCTGTCTTCCATCCACAATCTGCCAGGCTAACTTAGCTGTTTCCCTCAGGCGGCCATCTCCTTCCTTCTCTCGCTGTTCTTCTAGAAGCTGTCTACTTAGCAGAAGATAAATGGTCATATGGCCTTCTCAGTCATATAAATGGTCTAGCACAGTTCTTGCCACAAGGTATTTATTAAAAACACAATTTTTTTAAGCCATGTTTACAGTTCCACTTAAGTACTCTCTGTGACTCCGTAAAACTGCCCGGCACCAGCTGCTATGGTCATGATTCTCTGCTTGAGAACCAGTGGTATGTACACAGAATACTTACAGGTTGAGGCTGCTCTGCAATACAGCAGTTGAAACACAACCAGAATTCACTCATGCTTACAGTCCAAGATGTAAATGAGCACCAATCAAGTTTCCAAATCTCAGCTTGGGAAGCTTCACAAAGCACACTCCTCAATATGATCAAAGTCCAATGATGCCAGAATAATAACTGTATTATTTCTCTGTGGTTTTCTTCCTGGAAGTATTTTATACAGTCAATTTAATGAAGAAAAAGTCAGACTCTTTCCTTTCTTTGCTTCTGGCTCTACAGAGACTCTTTTCTGAACCACCAAGAATATAAAAATTGTTGTCTTGGCTCAGGGCCTATAACAGGTAATCTAGAAAAAAAAAAGAAAACAAGTTATTTTACTTATTCTCAGAAGCTTTTATTTCTTAAGTCTCTGATAAAATTAAGACTATTTCCCCAAAAAGTAAACACTGAAAAAACCTGAGATTGTAATAAGCTGATATTCAAATTCTTCAGTACTTTTTTGATTATCAAATCTTATGGATAAAGCAGCAAAAGAAGACAGAAATCCTTGCCTTCACAGAGCATTGTAATTTATGACTATAAAAATATGAATTATTCTAATCCTAGTTATTTTTCAAAATCACAAATTAGAACACTATGATTGCCATAGAAAGTCTCTAATTCCAGGAAGAAATACCAAGCATTTTCCTGTAAGCTTCTGCAGTTGAATCCTTTGTTCTCACAAACCACCCAGATACTAACTGGCATAGCAATCAACTCATTTTAGATAACCAGCTATAACTCATTACTAACTCTAAATAAAATTACCACCTTCTTCACTAAAATTAGAACTATACATGAAAGATAGATAGCGTTAAGTTGGGAATCATTTTGTTAATCAAAACATTAGGTTCTTTCCCCAACCATCACCAGAATAAGTGTCAGTCAAAATACTTTGTATCTTGTGGAGAGGCAAACCAAACTGAGTCAATCAGAATCTGGGTCAGGCAATTTTCTGTGTTGAGGAGGAACAGTGAATCTATCTATCCTTGTTGACTGCCACACTGCTGGCTTTAAGGTGGATCTCTGCCAACCATGTTCCAACCTTCATGTAGAATATGGTTCTGAGAAAATAATACTGACAAGCTGAGTATGGAGAAAGGAGCAAGTCCAGATGACATCAATCTCTGGTTGTAGTCATCCCTAAGACCAGTTTGACTTGTGGGCCTAAGGTTGGTTCTGTGAGGCAATGTCTCTCCCTCTTTAGCCTGAAGCTACACAAAAGTGGGTTTATATCACCTGAAGCCTATTACAACCAAGAGGAGATGTCCAGTAAACATCTGGATATAAAGCTCTATAGCCAAGAAGTCTTAGAATTTCTGTCAGCAGATTACATTATATATGAAGTAATGAGTGGCAAATCCTAGGGAAAGCAGCATATAAGAAGCAGAGAACTCTAGGGAACAGCAGTACTTAAATGATGGCTAGAGAAAAAGAAGTCTACAAAGGAGGTTTGGGTGTTATCAGAAAGAGTGCGAGGAAAACCAGTTAATGTGGTGTCATATTCCTGTTTCCAGGGGGAAGAGGGTAACAGTATTAACTGTACTGAGACAGCAAAGGTGGAGAACTGTTAATCAGAATGTGCACTGGACACTTGGAGGCCATGGCTACAGCAGTTTTAGTGAAATAGTGTGAGCACAAATCAGATTACAATGTGATAAGAGGGAGTAAGGAAAGTAGCAATCAACAAGTGTAGAAAATGTTTGCAAGAAGACTGGATATGAAGTTTAAAAAGACAGGGTGGTAGGCAGAGTGAAGAAAAAAGTCATCTTTGAAATGAAAAGATCAAAGACTAAAGATGTATTGCGTATTGAAAAAGATGTCAACATTTTTGTCCCAAGTGGTGAAATATAAGTCACATTTATACAGTTTTGAAAGAGATCTCATATTATTTATAAGCTATGCCAACTATAAATCAGTAACAGCTACATTACAGGCCACAGAACCCTGAAACTTAAGTGAAATAAAATCCCTCCCTTTTACTTTCCCCAAAGCCATGACTCTAAATGTTGTTAAGACAGGAATAACAGTTATTTTTATATTTGTCCAGATGAAGATCTTCGCTGAAGATAAATGCATATATGCTCAATGTCACAAATGTAGGTAGTACCCATGATTTTTGGGACCCTGATTCTACAAAGTCCAAAGGATGCATCCTTCAACATACCACACAGGAAAATGACATTGTAAGAGTTAAGCTGGCATTCAAGGAGGGAGATTAGAAGAAAGAAAATTCTTGCCACTGTTAAAATTCAGAAGCTGTAATGTTTATTTTCAAGTAGGGAAAACATTCCTTATCTCACCCAAATCCCATAACAAAAAAGTGGCAGTCACAGTTGGCTTTATCCCCTGAATTGGACAAGGGCTGAGAAGGTTTACAAAGAACAGCATGTTTCGCTTATTACCTCCTTAGGAAGAATATAAGGGCAAAGTGTTAAATTCACAACATTATGAACATTACTTGAGAGTTTCTATTAAACAAGTTTAATTCCACCATGAATCAAAGACCCTGGCCATTAAGAAGTCACTGTGCAGGAGATTCTCGAGATGGCAGCATGAGGAGGATGGCAGAAATCACCTCCCCAAACCATATATATTTTGAAAATACAGCAAATACAACTATTCCTAAAAGAGTGACCAGAAGATACAGTACAGCAGTGAGGCTACATCTGCAAGAACCCAACATCTCATGGAAAAGGGTAATATACAAAGCCGTGACCTGGCGGGATCCAAGCACGCCTCCCACCCCAGCTCACCGCTCGGAGGAAAAGAATCAGAGTTGGGGGGGAGTGGAAGCACAGGACTGCTAAAGACCCAGCCCTAGTAATCTGCCTGGGAGCACAGACACACATTGCATGGTGTGCTGGATATTAGACAAATGAAAAAGTAAAACCTGAGATTAAGACTGCAAACAGGTTCCCACAGCCGGCTGCCCTCAGACAAAACAAAAGCAGGTGCTTTAAGTCTTAAAAGGGACAAGGGTTTAACAGGTGGACAAAATCATCCTGGCACACTCAGCCCAGCAGGCTGGGAACTTTAAGGAACTTGAGGCGCCCTAACGCCATGGGTGGCAACACAGCTCTGAAGCCGCTCATGGCGATAAGCAGCTTGCCGTTCCTTCCCACCCACCGGCACTGCAAGCGAACCGGCTGACCCACCACTGCTATGGAATAACTGGGGAGCACCCCAGCCTACAGCAACCACACAGCTTAAGACAGAGGCTTCTTCCTGCGCGCAGCTAACCAGCCCAGATCCAGAGGCTGTTCCCTGCATGTGGATGACCGGCACAGACACAGGAGATGGTCACAGAGTCCAGGAAGCACGAAGGGGCTCTGTTCTCACAGCAGAACACACACCACTCGCTTGTGACCCCCACCAGTGCCCTGGGCCATCCCTATGGCCACCCCGCCCACAGCAGCTAGGGGATTAACCCATAGGCTGTTCCCTGCATGTGGCTGACTGGCCCCGACAGTGGAGATGGGCACAAAGTCCAGGAAGCACAAAGGGGCTCTGTTCTTGTGGCAGAATGTATACCGCTCGCCTGTGACCCCCGCCAGGGCCCTAGGCCATCTTGAGGGCTGCCCTGCCAATGGCAGCTCAGGGAATCAACCCAGACGATGCTCTCTGCAAGCGGTTAACTGGCACAGACAACAGAGACTGGCAAGGTGACCAGCAAACAGGAGGGGACTTTGTTCTCCCAGCTGACATGCACCACTTGCCAGTGACCACTCCCATCGCCATGAAAAGGCAGAGGAACCTTGCTCAGTCCAAATTCCATCAAATCCCAGAGAGAGGGCTTCATGAAACTGACATCACCAATCTTCCTGAAAAAGAATTCAAAGTAAAAGTCATAAGCATGCTGATGGAGCTACAGAGAAATATGCAAGAGCTAAGAAATGAATTCTGGAGGGAGATATCAGAAAAGAAAGGAACAATGGAAGGATTTAAGAGCAGACTGGAAGAGGTGGAAGAGACTGTTAATGGAATAGAAATCAGAGAACAGGAATACAGAGAAGCTGAGGCAGAGAGAGATAAAAGGATATCTAGGAATGAAAGAATATTAAGAGAACTGTGTGACCAATCCAAGTCGAACAATATTCACATTATAGGGGTAGCAGAAGAATAGAGAGAAAAAGGGATAGAAAATGTCTTTGAAGAAATAATTGCTGAAAACTTCCCAAATCTGGGTACGGTAATAGTCTCTCAGACCATGGAAGCCCATCAGATCTCCCAACACAAGGGACCCAAGGAGGACAACACCAAGACATATAATAAATAAAATGACAAAGATAAAAGACAAGGACAGAGTATTAAAAGCAGTTACAGAGAGAAAAAAGACCACCTACAAAGGAAAACTCATCAGGCTATCATCAGACTTCTCAGCAGAAACCTTACAGGCGAGAAGGGAATGGCATGATATATTCAATGCAATGAAACCAAAGGGTCTTGAACCAAAAATACTGTATCCAGCAAGATTATAATTTAAATTTGAAGGAGGAATTAAACAATTGCCAGATAAGAAAATCTGAGGGAATTTTCCTCCCGCAAACCAAGTGTACAATGTATTTTAAAGGGAATGCTCTAGATGAAAGGATGCCTAAGGCTAAATAGCTGTCACCAGAGAAAATAAAACCAAAGCAAAGAAAGCACACCAACCAAATACGAACAAAACGCAAAATAAAATCAGCTATCCACAAAATCACTCAAGGGAAACACAATGAGTACAGAATAAAACACCTAACATATAAAGAGTGGAGGAGGAAGAAAAAGAAGGAGTGGACACAAATGAAAAATCATCAGACTGTTTATAATAGCATAATAAGTGACTTAACTTAGATGGTTAGATAGTAAAGAATCTGCCCTTGAACCTTTGGAAACCATGAATCCAAAGCCTGCAATGGCAAAAAGTATACATCTATCAATAATCACCCTAAATGGAAATGGAATGAATGCACCAATCAAAAGACACAGAGTTACAGAATGGGTAAAAAAGCAACACCCATCTATGTGCTGCCTACAAGAGACTCACTTCAAACCCAAAGAAATACACAGACTACAAGTGAAGGGACGGAAAAAGATATTTCATGCAAACAATAGGGAGAAAAAAGATGTTGCAGTACTTGTATCAGACAAAGAGACAAAGAAGGACATTACATAATGATAAAGGGGGCAGCCCAACAAGAGGATATAACCGTTACAAATACCTATGCACCCAACACAGGAGCACCTACATATGTGAAACAAATACTAACAGAATTAAAGGAGGAAACAGAATTCAATGCATTCATTTCAGGAGACTCAACACTC